AGTCGGATGCTTATCTGACAGAGCCCCCCAGGCGTCACTTTTCTTTTCTTTTTAATAATGATGCAAAATGCTTTGTTTCTCACCAGTTAGATCTCTCTTTGCCTTTTTTTAAACAGATATTTTCTAACTTTGTCAGTTTCTAAGTCATCAGAGACTAAAAACTTCTGCCTTTCCAAGATCTCTCTCTTTAGCTCTTGCTGTTAGAGAGGTAGAAGGGAATGAAACTTCATTGCAATACAAGTCCGTGGTGAGAGAAAATTCTATCACCCATGCGGCCTCTTCTACATTTCCTCTGCAGCAACAACCTGGGAAAGAAAGCCCGGAGTTTTTTAACCCTCAAGAGAACCAAATGATGGGGCAAAAAAAATCACAGTACAGGGATTGGAATGGAGGACAGAAGACAAAATGGATGAAATAAAGAAAGCATATGTACTAATAACTGAGGGGAGAAAACATCTCACAGGTAAAACATGAAATACTCTGGTGACTATATACATAGAAATCCTATATCTGGGGGTAGAGATGAGGAACATAAATTGCTAAGCCCTCCTTTTCCAGCACTTTTCTAACACCATAGGTCAGATCCTTGAGGTACTGCTTCCCTTATTCACATGTCCCCTCCTAGTGCATTTTGGGGTGGGGAAAGGTGGATACTAGGGTGTGTGGTCAATGTCAGGGCGGTGGAAATTCATCTCCCCAACAAATGTTGTATAACGGGAGACAGGCACTATTTCAGACACTGAGGATACGATTATAAACCAAAAAATATGCCTTCTAAGAGCATATGGTCTATGAAAATACACATGCCTACAAAATATTTTAACATTTTGTAACAAATAATTCCAGAAGTATGGATAGGGTGAAGCAGAAGTACAGAAAGGAGACATTTATTGTTATGTATAATATGTGTTGAAAGGTTTGTTCCTATCAAAAAATGAGACTTGGGGTGCCTGGGTGGCTCAGTCGGTCGAGCACCCAACTCTTGATTTTGGTTCAGGTCATGATCAGGCCATGATTTTGGCTCAGGTTGTGGGATGGAGCCCTATAGGAGGCTCTGTGCTGAGCGTGGAGATTGCTTAAGATTCTCCCTCTCCTCCTTTACCCCTCTCTCCCACTTGCACGCTCTCTCTCTAAAATTGAAAATTAAAAAAAAAAAATGCAACCTGAAAGTGAATGATTGAATGAATAATTAGATTCCTTTTCCAATACCAAAACCACAAAGACATTGTCCGGTCATAGCGAGAAAGAAGGTACTTGACCTACTCTTTGGTCGGATTTCAGCTATGCAAATCCCAAACACTGAATGAAAACAAAGACATCTCATTTCTCTTTTCTACAGAGATTTAATACCCACACAGAGGTTTAATACCCCACATATTAAAGTTACTGCTTGAGACAGTGAGCAAGATTAAAGAAAATCACCTCATTTAAACTTAAAGTTCAAAAGAAGGAAATCACTTGCCCACTAACCAAAAGGCCAGTTAGTGGCAGAATGGGGACTAGAGTGCAGGGTTGTTTTTTTTTTTTTTTTCCTGCTTGATAGCACCCTTTACATCGATTCACACAGATTGTTAAAGAGATTCCTCTTGGATAAGCATGGAAATGTTTTACATTCTTCATAACTATTCATAGCTATATCTTAGAGGATATTCTATTCTCAAAGGCCCTAAAACTGCTCTGAGCATTTGGAAATTGATTAAGTATTACAGGTAGTAATAAATCATCTTCATTCCATAATTCTTCATTTTGAGACTGTTTCCTATGACACTGCTCAACATTTCTGTACTTTCTTCAATTTCTTGATGACAAATGAGGCAGAGAACCTTCACAATATGTTTTTATTTACCATTTGGATATTCTCTTGTGATGTGTCTGGTTCATGTGTTTTGCACATTTTTCTACTAGAAAATTTTTCTTTCTCTTATTTATTTATAGCAGTTCCTATATATTCTGGATACTAGCCCTATCAGAGATGTGTATTTCAAATGTATTCTTTTACCCAACTATAGGCTTTCCCTTTGACATAAATACAACTAAGGCTCTCTGGTGAAACTAAGGCTCTTTACTGGAACAATCTAGTGAATACTTCTGGAGGTCATGAAGGGCACCTCCTTACCATATAGTCCACAAATGCAGGAGCAGAATCCTACTGTGGTCTTGTCAGAAGGAAATAACAATATAGCAGTCTAGTAGAAAGTGAAATTTATTACAAAGATGGTGAAAAAAAAGCCTTAACACTCAGGTTTGAGTACTTAGATCCCGCGGAGCAGAAACTGAAAGGGCTCTACATAGGCCAAAGGAAAGACCATATCAAATGAGGCAAAATTCTGAAACTAGGTCTCTGTCACATGAAGTGGATTATATACTCAATTTTGCAAATCTTTGCTTCCTCTTTTCTCCTCACCAATTCTGAGAAGCCTGGTTTCAGGTCTAGAGTATGTTCCATAGATTCCAGTGGACCTGGGGTCGATCAATGGATACACTTTTATCTGAGTGCTTTAAGTTTGGTAATACTTACCAATATCACAGGATGTAATATACCCCTGTTGCAACTTATTACACCAATGGTGAAGCATATTGCCTTGTGATGCTGGGTTTCTTCATTAGCAATCAGTCCTCTTGGAGGAACATGGATGATAGATGTTAGCGCTCCCCATTAGAAGGGAAGAAGCTCCTTCTGAGCAAGCAATCCTGAGAAGAGGTCTGATGGAGAAAAAGTCATATGAAAATGTCAAACATAACCATCAGTGAACCCTAATGTAAACTATAGACTGGGGGTTAAAACGTTGTATCAATGAGGATTTATTAATTGTTAACAAATGTACCACTCTGGTGGGGGATGTTGATAATGGATGAGGCTGTGCATGTGTGGGGGCAGAGAATTGTCTGTGCTCAATTTTGATGTGACTCTAAAATACTCTTAAAACGTCTATTTTAAAAAATGTAGAAAAAATTCCTAAGACATAGAAAGCAGTGCAGAGAAAAAAAAATAACCTTAAATCCTGGCATATTAAAAAAGAATTTTACGCTATCTTAAGAAATTCAAGGGGATAAAAGCAAAAAAAGGGGGGGGAATAAGGTAACAGCCTAAAGTAGTGAATATATTAAAAATAATGTTTTCGGGATACCTGGGTGGCTCAGTCAGTTAAGTGTCTGGGTCTTATTTTCGACTTAGGTCATGCATGATCTCAGTTTGTGGGTTTGAGCCCTGCATTGGGCTCTGCTCTGGCATCGTGGAGCCTACTTGGGATTCTTTCTCTCCCTCTCTCTTGGTCTGTACCCTGTTTGCACGCTCTCTCTCAAAATAAATAAATAAACTCTAAAAAATGAAAATAAAAGACAAATATCCTACGATTTCACTTATATGTGGAATTTAAGAAACACAACAGATGAACACAGGGGAAGGGAAGGAAAAACAAGATGAAAATGGAGATGGAGGCAAACCAAAAGAGTCTCAAATACAGAGAACAAACTGAGGGTTGCTGGAGGGGTTTTGAGAGGGGATGGGCTTTGTGGGTGATGGGCATTAAGGAGGGCACTTGTTGGATTGAACAGTGGGTGTTCTATGGAAGTGATGAATCACTGGGCTCTACTCCTGAAACCAATCCTACACTTTATGTGAACTAACTTGACTTTAAATAAATTAAAAATAAATAAATAAAAAGCTACAACCTGTAAAATAAATAAAATAAAAAAATGAAATTACCTTTCAAAAAATAAAAATAACGTTTTCAAATGGATAAATACATAAGGACCTGTTGAAATGATGAACAAAAGTGATAACCTCCTAATAAACCAGATTAAGGTGGGAAGGGAGAGGGAGGAAGTAAATCTACAGGAAAAAAAATCAATCCTTATCTTTTTGTGACACAAACAAATATTTCAAGATGAAATTGTCTGCGATTGTTTCAGAATAATTCAGGGGAGGGCCATTGAAATTGGATGAAGGGTACCTGGGAATCATTATGTTATTCTCTATTTTTTCCAATATTGCACATTTCCCTCTTGAAACTACAATTCTACTTTTCTTTTTCCCTTTTTTGCTATTTTTGCTATTTATTCATTTAACAGTTGCCTGTTAAAAACAAAACAACAAAAACTGCCTGTCTTTCTTCTGCCTCCACTCCCGCCCTCATTTTACTGAAGATGCTGTGACCCAAACCACCAGTGACATTCTGATTGCCCATAAAGTGATATTTGTTCAGCTCCTACAAAATGTGATTTCCTTACAGCATTAGCTATCATTGCCCAATCTCTCCTCAAAACTCCAGCCTCTTTTTACTTCCTCAGCAACACTTGTATTTCTCTACCTTCTCTCTGACTGGCCCTCCTTTGCTCTTTATCATAAATATTGACGTTCTCCAGAATTTCCTTCTCTGTCTCTTGTTACATCCCTACATAAGGATATGCACACATGTTTCAACTGCCATCCCTAGACTGATGGATGACCCTTAATCTGTTGTCAAGTTCCAGAACAAAATTCTGTCTATCGTGTGCCCTGTAGACACCTTAAACTGAACCCAAACCAGTATTTACTAGCTTCTTCAACAGGCTTGTGTTTCCAGCCATATTTTACATCTTACTTAATGGCATCGTTGACTACTGTTCTCCTTAGCTGAAAACATGATTTCCTCCTTGACCCGTCTCTCGCAAATCCCTCACATCCTACCAGTTTCTCTAATCTGGCTACATCTTTGTATCCTTAGTTCCATCATCTATAAGTTTAAAGGAGGCTTAAGTCTTTCAGCCCAGGAATCCTACTCTTAAGGATCTATTGCATAGAAATAAAAGCATCAATACGTAAGAGCATAATAATATAAGTTGCCATAGTGTGCTCTTATGCTATGACCCTCTTGGTCCTTCCACTACACTAATTCCCAGGGGTCAAGGGTCAAACAAATAGGTGATTCTATGGCAGTTGGCAGCCCTAACAGCAAACTGGCCCTGATAAAGAAAGGAAAGGGGAAGGGGGGAGCTCATTTTCAAGACTACCCGAGGTGCTGGCTGCTGAGGCTCGCAGTTCCTGAGAGATAAAGGAATTGCCTTGGACTCAGAAGGGAGTTACCAGCCCAGGAACAGCCTGCATTCCAGGGCAAACTGAGCTCTCTTGCTGCACTCAGGATGACTCCAAAAGCCACACCAGGTCCAAATGTGGTGCTGGCTAACATTTCTTTTCTTGTAACTGCATCTCAGCTCAACCTCTCCTCAAATCTGCTTCCTTAAACACTGGCAGATGTGACTCTTGGCTAAGTACTCCCCAATAAACTCTCTACACATAATTCTCTGCCTCAGAGGTGCTTTTCCAAGGAGTCCAAATTAATACTATGGTAATTGCCTACATGTCATTTGTTATGTGCCAAGAACGCTTTTTAAGTGCTTTACATTCCTAAACTCATGCAATCTTTTTACAAAATTCTTGTGTAGTAGGAAGCATTATTATCTGTAAGATCACAAAACTGCTCACCGGTAGAGCCAGGATGTAAAGCCAGGATTGTGAGTCCATTTTCTTAACCACGGAGTCTCCCTTGTGAGATTAAATATATTGAGCATTGTTTTTTACAAAAAAATTTAAAATAAAATATACCAAGATATGTACAGAGGTCTGGAAGAAAGAAAGCACAGCATGTTTGAAGCAATGAAAGAAATCCAGTTGGCCCATGGAAAGGTCAAAGAAATAGGCAGAGAGAGGCCATTAGATATGACTTTTATCTTAGTTCAGTAAAAGGCCTTTTTTCGGGGTAGGGGGAAGATTTTAATACAAGTCCTCTGACTGAGCTTACTGAATACCATAGTGGCCTACTCAAGAATCCATAAACGTTTTCTCTGACAAGTTACAAAGACAGTTGTCAAGAAATAATGGTCTGGCCTTATAAATGATATTGGAGTGCAATGCTTTGGTGTATCAAGCCAGCTTTTGTGGTTTCAAGGTGCTGGTCTACTTCCCAGATGCCTACCTAACTAAACTTCTTTAAGCGTTCCAAATGAGGACACAAGTTTCTCTAAAACATCCTATATTCTGAATGGTCATTCCCTTTTGTGGTACTAGCTGGCTGACTATTCCTGTCAACGATCTTGAATGCCTTTTTCTCTTCACTGATCCCTACCTAATGTCAAGTAATCCTGGAACATATAATCCTAGCTCTAAAATTGGACCTATTTAGTCAGGCATGCCTAACCTCTTTCAAGGCCTCTAATTATCACTAAAGCTGGCAGCTCTCTCTAATATGTGATATTTTATCTCCCTCTATATTGGGTAGCTCTCTCATGACCTGTAGTCAGCCATGGTCCTCCTACTGCACCAGCCATCAGGGTCAAGGGTCAAGTCAATAGATGATTCCATGGCAGTTAGCAGCCCTGACAGCAGGGCAGGCCACATATAGGAGTAGTGGGGGGTGGGATTTATCTTCTTTGGTCCACAGGCTTTATCAGCTCTGCCCCTGCCAATACCTCAGCAATCACTAAAAGTTTAGATTTTGCTCTTCCTCTTGTGAAGAAATAATCAAATCAGAGAAGAGCCATCTGAGATGTTGGTGGTGGTCTCGGCTTGAAATCCCCATTCACAATGGGGAACATGTCACCCAGAGGTATCCAGGCCACCAACATGGTCTTCTCCTCCTGGGCCTTAGTCTTCTTGGCCATAGGAATCATCATGGAAGAATGGGTTGAACTGACATTGGAAACAAAGAAAAATACAGTAAGCCACAGTCCCTGGATATGTTGCACTACTCTTTGGCCAGAAGGTCAGAACTGCACTATGGAAAGAGACGGGTGGAGAGGGAGGGTTCATCTTTCCTTGACTTCCATTTATCTCACCGGCTTACTCATTATTATTCTCTGGGGCAACTTCTGCTGGCTGCATTGCACCCAGCTCCATAATCAAGAGTCAAGGCTGACTCTAAAATCTCGCCATTTTGAATATTTTGGAGAAAAGTTTAGAAGCTCACAGACTTCACTGCTGGACACTTGAGAGACATTGGCAGTAGCAGCAGGGTGGTCAGCACATCTAGAACATGAGGGAATAAAAGAAAGGTAACTGGCAACAAGGAAAATAGCTTGTTTTGCCACTGGAGGAGGGCAGGATGAATTATATTTAACAAGAAATCTGTTCCGTGAAAAGAATAGAAGAGAAAGAAACTTACAGAAACACTAAGAGAACAGTTTCTTCTGGTTCTCTTTCCCACTCAGCTTAAGGCCCCCTACCTCTTTATTCTTTCCCCTTGTTCCTCTTTATTATTTAAAGAAATATTTTTACCTCATTCTGATTTTTACCCAGAGAATTGTGGAAATTTCCAGGTGGAAATGAGCCTAGAAAAAATATCTGTCCCTCTTTCAACATAGCGTCTGCTTTCCAACAGATGGCCTGGAAGTGGTCAGGACCATGATGATTTTGGTTCTCATCCTTTCCTTCATCCATAACTTGTTCCTGGGTTTGGAATCCACCTACCTGATTCCTCAAACTAAACATACCCTCTTCATCGCTGTCTTCCTCAGTTTCTTTACAGGTAACCTCTTGGCTCCCCTAACACAGGCTTGGAGATAAATTTGGTTTAAGGATCTAGGCTGCAACCATCCTAGTTCTTTGGCTCAGATACGCAGCTTCTGAATTGAATGTACCACTTAGCAAGGTTGGGTTTTTTTTTTTTAATGTTTGTTTATTTTTGAGAGAGAGAGAGAGAGAGAGAGCACAAATTGGGGAGGGGCAAAGAGAGAGGGAGACAGAATCCAAAGCAGGCTCCAGGTTCTGAACTGTCAGCACAGAGTGCAAGGTGAGGCTTGAACTCACGAACCATGAGATCATGACCTGAGCTGAAGTCAGACGCTTAACCGACCAAGCTACCCAGGGCCCCGATTTTTGAACATAGTGCAGTTGTATGTAGGAGGTTTGGAAGTCAGGCATATCTTGGGTTAAGACTTCAGTAGAAGAGCCAAAGTTCCTTAGAAGGGATTCCCCCCCGGCCCCCCCCCCCCGCCTTCTTTTGTCTGGACATTAGGTCTCCTTCTGCTCTGTGCACTCCTAATGTATCACCAAAAGCTAAGTCAAGGTAAATCCGTGTACTACTCCAGTTACAAGATCACCTGGATCATTTTCACTGCCTACTTAAATGTCTCCCTCTTTGTGGCCTCTGGTGAGTGTTTTCAGGGCCCCTGATAGGTGATTAGATAGATAGATAACCATAGGTGATGGGAAAGCGAGATGGGGAAAAGTGCCAATCCTTACATGTTAAAGGGCTAAGGTTCAGGTGACTCACTCTCTGAGGGCAGTTCCTTCAAGGGCAGAGTTGGAGACGAGGGCTGTGTGAAATATTCAACAAGCTTGCCTCAAGGGCAGCGCTCATTTCTGCCCTTTCTACTGTCTTTCACACCATCCCCACGTCAGGACCGAGATAACCATCCAAGTCATGACTAAGGAGAGTTGCTGATGGGGAATGTTTATTGATATGGCAAGGGACAGTATACCCTGGGTGTCCCGTGTAGTGTTGAGGCACTTGGAGGTCAGAGACAAGCAATATCTGATGTTACGTGGTCACCTGACAACCCTGGAGACCCTCATTTTCTTAAAAAGTCTTGAAAATTTCATTTGGAATTGCACTCACAACCCAGAAGCATGTCTTCTTTCAAAATGACATGAACAGCATTTAAGCTATTGTGGATACACTTCTGGTCTCTTCCACTAAAGCATCCTCCTCTCCAGTGGCCTGGGGCAGTTCAAAGGGACCCACAGGGCTTTGGGTTGGAGTATCTCTGCTGACATAGAGGGAAGTATTTCTGTAACTCTCCACTGACCCCTCATCACCCTTCCCTGGCTTCTCTTTTCCCCAGGAGTCCTCTCTCTCCTACAGTACAAACAATCCATCAAGAGCTTTGCCTGCCTGACCATCCTCCGTACATCCAGCAGAGAAATTAAGGACAGACAGGAGTCTGAGAGTTCTATCAAAGTTATTTCCTTACCAGAACAGCCCGCAATGCTTCGTAGTACTGTTCACACAAAGGAAGATTTTCCAAACAGAGCACACATCCAAACACGTCGTGTAACCTGGGCTGTATGATTTGACAATGTATCTTTCAGTGTGTGCTTGTCTTAATAGAAACAACGTTGTGTGTATGTGCATTGTGTCTCTACAGCCGTGGTGTCTTTGTTTGGCATTATTTAATGCATGTGACTGGGTTAGGGTCTGTAAGAAGATCCGGAAGGTGGTTTTTTCATTTTTATTTATTTTTTTTCGATCCTGACCTGTTGAACAGTTTCTTTTATTTGTTCTCACCATTTAATAACATTTGTTATTCATTTAATAAATATTATCATTAACTAATACTTGCTGTATTGTTAACTCTATACATCACACTTATTTTATTGTGAAATATTTCAGACATTCAGAAAGAATACAAAACATGATAAACATCTGTGCACACATCACTCAGCCTTATGAAATTTTACAATTATGCCCTATTTGCTTTAGATGTTTTCAAATTAAATTTATAGACAAAACGGATGTTCCTCTAAAAAGTTCCCTAATCTCATTTCCCTCCCTTGCTGCTCGTCACAAAACACTTTCAATGATGCATCGCTGATCATTTTACATTCACATTGTCATTTTTTAGAACTTAATGCATCTTTAAAAATTATATAGATTAGCTTTCCAAATCTTCAAAGATCATTAAAAGTCAGACTGTACAGATCATTTTTGCAGCTTGTTTTTTTCACTCAACTGCGTGTATGGTTTTGGGATTCATTACGTTTTGTTTGACTTCATTCATTGAAACTACTGCTAAGTTTTCCATTGTAGAGATAAAATGTAAAATATTCATTCTCCAGTTGATGAAAATCTAGTTGTTTTCTTTTATTCTGTTATAAATAGTGCTGTTATGAACTTTCTTATACACAACTCCCTCTGTCCATGAGCTAGAGTTTCTCTTAGGGTATTTATCTAGGACTAGAATAGCAGAAACTCTCTTTATTGGGGCGCCTGGGTGGCTCAATCAGTTGGGTGTTGGACTTCGACTCCGGATTTGTGAGTTTGAGCACCGCATTGGGCTCTCTGCTGTCAGCACAGAGCCCACTTTGGATCCTCTGTCCCTCCCCCCTTCTGCCCCTCCCCCCTCTGCCCCTCCCCATTTGCACGCGCGCGCACTCACTCTCTCTCAAAAGTAAACATTAAAAAAAAGAAAGTATCTTCATTTTCAAGTTAACTAAATATTGACAAAGTGATGCAAAAAATGGCTGTTATAATTTACGCTTCTGCCAGCAATGTATGAAAATTCTAGTTTCTTTGTACCTTGCCAGTCCTTCAGTGATCAGTCTTTTTAATGTCTGAACTATCACTGAGTTTGCTCACTTTTTAAGAAAATGAGGGTCTCCAGGCTTGTCAGGTGACCACGTAACATCAGATATTGCTTGTCTCTGACCTCCAAGTGCCTCAACACTACACTGGACACTCAGGGTATACTGTCCCTTGCCACATCAATAAACATTCCCTATCAGCAACTCTCCTTTTCATTTCATTATTGAGCTTTTGGATTTCCTCTTCTCTGAATTACTGTGTTTGACCATTTTTAAAATGAATGACTTGTCTATTTCTTATTGATTTGTAGTTCTTATATATTGGAAACTAATACTGACTGGTTGTGCCTTGGCTTTTAACCTTGTTTATGAGGTTTTTTTTGTTTTACAGAGGTATTCAAATGAAATGTAATACAATAGATCAACCTTTTCCTTTTAGTTGGTGCTTTATTGTGTCTTTTTAAAAAAAATTTTTTTTAACGTTTATTTTTGAGACAGAGAGAGACAGAGCATGAACAGGGGAGGGGCAGAGAGAGAGGGAGACACAGAATCCGAAACAGGCTCTGGGCTCCGAGCTGTCAGCACAGAGCCCAACGCAGGGCTTGAACTCACGGACCGTGAGATCATGACCTGAGCCGAAGTTGGACGCCTAACCGACCAAGCCACCCAGGCGCCCCTATTGTGTCTTATTTAACAATTCCTTCCTTGCTCTCTTTACTCTTATTGGGAATAATCTCTAAGTATTATATAAGGTAAAGATCCAATTTTACCTACTTTCCATGTGGATAACTATCTATTCAGATTATTTTTATGGCTTAATTCCTTATCTTACTGCGTTGTAACATAATCTCCTACATATACCAAATATACATAAAAGTCAGTCTGTTTCTGATCTCCATAGCTTATTCCATTGGTCTATTTTTATATCCCTGCATGGCACAACGATCTTAATTACTATGTAGAGAAAGCAAGTGTTGATGTTCAATATGCCCAAGTCCTTATTCTTGTTCAAAATTATCTTGACTTGTTCTTGGTCTTTGGTCTTCATATAAATAGCAAGATTAGCTTGTATAGTTCCAGAAAAATCCTACTTATGATTTGATTCAGAATCATATTAATTTATTAACTAATTTGGGGATAATTAACAATGCTAATAATATTTTTTCATCCAATGCCAAAATATGATACTATGTATTTAGGTCTTCTTTCACGTCCTTCAATAATGTTGTATGATTTATTTTTTCCAGACAGATCTTTCTGTTAAGGTTGATTCATAGGTAACCTGCAGTTTTATGCTTTTCTGAATTGAAATATTTTATAACATTTTCTAGTTGCCTATTACTGGTGTAAAGTTGTTGATTTTTGTCTCTAGAAACTTTACTGAATTCTTATTTTAGTACTTATAATTTTACCTGTATGTTCTCTTAGGTTATCCTTGGAGGAAAACATATTGTCCGCAGAAAAGATGTTCACTTCATTCCAATACTTATATCACTTACTTCTTTTGTGTTGTCTTATTCATTGGCTCAGATCTCCAAGATAAGGTTGAATGGGAAAAAAGATAGTAAGCATCCTTTCTATGTTCCTTATTTTAATAAGAATGCCTCCATAATCCTAATAGTTGATATTATATGCACTGTAGAATTTGTCATATTTGCCTCATCAAATTAAAGGACTTCTTGGGGCACCTGGGTGGCTCAGTGGGTTAAGCATCTGACTTTGGCTCAGGTCATGATCTCATGGTTCGTGGGTTCAAGCCCTGTGCCAGGCTCTGTGCTGACAGCTCAGAGCCTGGAGCCTGCTTCAGATTCTGTGTCTTCCTCTCTCTCTGTCCCTCCCCCGCTCATGCTCTGTCTCTCTCTGTCTCTCAAAAATGAATAAGCATTAAAAAAATTAAAAAAAAATAAAGGACTTCTTCTATATCTAATTTGCAGAGTGAGTTTACCAAAAGTAAATGATTAATTTTATTGAAAATTTCTATGCGTCTATTGAGATCAGTTGATTTTTTTCCTATTCCAATAATAGGATGTATCTTTTATATAAATTATAATTTGTGAAAATTTTCTCTGTATTTTATTGTGAAATATTTTAAACATACAGAACAAAGTAGAAAGCAATGTGATAACCACTTATGTACCTATTGCCTAACTTTTTAAAAGCTTAACGCTGTGCCCCATTTGTTTTAGATTGTTTTAAATTAAATTTGCAGACTCATCTGATGTGCCTGTACAAATTTTACCACACCAACTTTCCTCTCTTGTTTCTCATTGTTAAACAGTTTGCATACCTGGAAAAATTCCCGTTTAGTCATGTTTCTCTTAATAAATTGCTGAAATAAATTTTCTAATTATTTTAGAATTCTTGAATCTATGTAAGTCAAATTTGGCTATGATTTCTCTTCTCGTACTCTCTTTGCCCCCTTTATTTTATTTTCATGTGTTATTTTGTTTTGGTTTTGGAAGAAAGCTTGAGTAACCTTTTTTGACATATGACATGCATATATACAAGTTCGCAAATGGTAAATGTATATCTCTTTAAATGTTCACAAAGAGAACACCCCTGTGTAATGAACACTCAAATAAAGAAACAGAATCTGAACAGCACTCTAGAAGTCTCCCTCATGCCATTTGAATATAATATTTCATATTATTGTTGTAAATTTTTATTATAAATATATGTATTTAAAGTTTATTTATTTATTTTGAGAGAGAGAGAGCATGCTAGAGCATGAGCAGAGAAGTGGCAGAGAGAGAAGAGAAAGAATCCCAAGCAGGTTCCACAATGTCAGCACAGAGCCCAATGTGGGGCCCAGACTCATGAACCGTGAGATCATGACCTGAGCTGAAATCAACAGTCAGATGCTTAACCAACTGAGCCACCCAGGTGCCCCTCGTGGCAATGTTTTTCCTTTTTAATGCTTATTCATTTTTGAGAGACAGAGAGACAGAGCACGAGTGGGGGGAGAGGCAGAGAGAGAGGGAGACTCAGAATCTGGAGCAGGATCCAGGCTCTGAGCTGTCAGCACAGAGCCTGATGCAGGGCTCAAACTCATGAGATCATGAGATAATGACCTGAGCCGAAGTCAGATGCTTAGCTGACTCAGCCACCCAGGCGCCCCTGCCCCTCATTGTAGTTTTGGTTTGTATATCGCTAATGATAAGTGATGATGAACATCTGTCCATGTGTCTGCTGGCTGTCGGTATGTCTTCTTTGGAGAAATGTCTGTTCATGTCTTCTGCCCATTTTCTAATAGGATTATTTGTTTTGGGGGTGTTGAGTTTTATAAGTTCTTTGTAGTTTTTGGATAGTAACCCTGTACAGATATGTCATTTGCAAATATCTTCCTCCCATTCTATAGGTTGCCTTTAGTTTTGTTGATTATTTCCTTTGCTGTGCAGCAGTTTATTTATTTAGTCCCAATAGTTTATTTTTGCTTTTGTTTCCCTTGCCCCAGGAGACATATCTAGAGAGAAGTGGCTGAAGCCCATGTCAAAGAAGTTATTGCCTGTGTTCTCTTCTAGGATTTTTGTGGTCTCACGTCTCACAGTTAGGTCTTTAACCCATTTTGAGTTTATTTTTGTGCGTGGTGTGGATAGATAGATAAAGATAGAAAGTGGTATAGTTTCATTCTTTTGCATCTTCCTGTCCAGTTTTCCCAACACCATTTGCTGAAGAAACTGTCTTCTTCCTGTTAAATATTCTTTCCTGCTTTATCGAAGATTAATTGATCATATAATTGTGGGTTTATTTCTGCATTTTTTATTCTGTTCTATTGATTGATGTTCCGTTTTGTGCCAGCACCACACAATTTTGATAACTACAGCTTTGTAACGTAACTTGAAGTCCCTAATTGTCATGCCTCCAGCTTTGCTTTTCTTTTTCAAGATTGCTTTGGCTGGTTGGGGTCTTTTGTGGTTCCATACAAATTTTAGGATTCTTTGTTCTAGTTCTGTGAAAAATTCTGTTAGTATTGATAGGGATTGCATTAAATGTGTAGATTGCTTTGGGTAGTATAACATTTCAACAATATCTGTTCTTCCTCTCCATAAGCATGTAATGTCTTTCCATCCTGGGTATCTTATTATTTTGGGTGCAAGTGTAAACAGGATTATTTTTTAAATTTCTCTTTCTGCTGCTTCATTATTGGTGTACAGAAATGAGGCAGATTTCTGCACAGTTGGTTTTGTATCTTGAGACTTTACTGAATTTATTTGTTACAATAGTCAAGATATGGAAG